AGGAAAACTGCCGCCAAACTTCTCCTTATGTCTGATGAGGGATTAAAAAGGGTTTTTGTTGTTGTTGTTGTTGTTTTACAAATCCACAACAAAAACATAAGAATCCCAATGTTAAGTGGGCCAAAGACTTGAAAAGACGTTCTTCCAAAGAAGACACGCAAACAGCTAAGAAGAATATAGAAAAAAAAAGTCAATATAATGTTGTTAAGGGGAATACAAACCAAAATGACAATGATACTCCATCTTACATCCACTTGAATGAGTGTGATTATAGAAACAGAAAATAAGTATTCACACCAGGTAGTGGTGGCACACCTGGTGTGAATACTTATTAACTTATTTAACCCCAGTACCTGGGAGGCAGAGGCAGGTGGATCTCTGGAAGTTCAAGGCCAGTCTGGTCTAGAAAGTGAGTTCCAGGGCAGCCAGGGTGGCTACACAGAGAAACCTTGTCTCAAACAAAACAAAACAAACTAACAAACAAAGGAAAAGTATTCACAAGAGTGGGAGAAACTGGAACCCTCATAGACTGGTGGTCCAAATGTAAATGATATAGCCACTATGGACAGTTTGGCAATTTCTTCACAAATTTAACACAGAACTGAAATACGAAGTTTCAATTTCACTTGTAGGTACTTGCCCCCAAACAAAAAATAGATAGCCAAATAAACTACACTCAAATACTCACAGCAACCCCATTCACAGACCCAAAACATAACCTAGACTTTTATCTGGCATGTGCACACAATGAAGCATATTCATCTGTAAGAAAGAATGAAGTACTGATGTATACCATGGACTTTGAAAACACAAGAGAGAACTAAGTCAGACACAAAAAGACATACATTATATAATTCCATCTACACAAAATAGTCAGCATAGACAAAGTCATACACAAAGCAATTAGGGGCTGGCAAGCTGGCTCAGTGGGTAAGAGCACCTGCCGAGCAAGCATGAGGACCAAAGTTCTAATCCCAGCACCCACATAATAAACTGAGCAGGGTCCTGTGCACACCTGTACCCACAGCCCTGGGTGTGAGGACAGGTGACTTCCAGGGCCTGATGGCTGACAGCTTAGCTAAAAAACCTCAACTCCAGGTTTATGAGACTCTTCTTCAAAAGAATAAGGTATAGGGTGTTTGCGGGCATCCAAAATCCCCTCTCGTTTTCAAGTGTGTACTCACCCAACCACCTCCCTCCTACATGTACACCTATACACATACATGGACACACACACAAAGAAATTCAAGGAAAAAAAGTAAATGAACAATTACAAAGATATGTGGAAAGTTACTCGGGGGGAAAAATAAATAACAGACAGTAATGAGCATTAAATGTGTGTATTTTAAAATATATGAATAATAAAGAGACAGTGATAAATGCAACATAGAGAGATAACATTTAATGATGCAGTAAGAAGTGACTGAGGAGCTCTACTCGGAATCAAGAATGCTACTGGCTTTTTAAAATGAACTTGAGCCTGGTGGTGGCGCAGGCCTTTAATCCCAGCACTCGGGAGGCAGAGGCAGGCAGATCTCTGTGAGTTCAAGGTCAGCCTGGTCTACAAGAGCTAGTTGCAGGACAGGCTCCAAAGCTGCAGAGAAACCCTGCTTCGAAAAACCAAGAAAAAAGAAAGAAAGAAAAATTGAACTTGCAGAGAGCTGAGTGGCTCTATGTATGTAATCAAGCAATCTGAAGAGGAAGAATACGCTAAGCATAGGAAGGAAGGTTTCTGCAAAGGTCCTTGTGCAAGTGCAAGCTTAGCACTGCTTAAGAAACCAAATACACAGTAAATAGGTTTTGTAATTCACAGCGAAGACTTCACATTTAAGGACTCTGGGAAACCACTGGTGAACTTCAAGCATTTGTATTTTCAAAGGTTCCCTCTAGAGACCTGAAAAGATAAAAGCTACCATTCAGGAGCCAGACACACTTGTGTGTGAACAAGCTGTATTATTACCTTCGGAAAATGATTCCATTCCTTAAAGTTTCAATTTCCCTGTCTATCGAGTGTGGAAACTAATAGGTCCTAACCTTATAATAGGAAGCTGAATGACACATGAACCACTTTAATGCCACTCAGTAACTGTATGATACCTCTGAATATTATTATGCATGGTCATTCCATAAATGAGGCTGAAAATGCACACTGGGTCATGAGGAGCAACTGTCCAGTTTACAGGAGCCTAGGAAGGAACAGAACACCTTAGGAGAATACAGGAAGACCCAGAATGTGCGACAAGACGGAAGTCCACCCATAAGTAAATGCTTCATTTATTACCCATAAAACTGATGCTTCATAGACATGGAGTTGATAATATTTTTGTTATGGCCAATGAAGCATTAATCTTGAATAGAATTTAGAAACAAAAATATCTTAAGAAAACATCTGCTATCCAAATATAAAGAAACAATCAAAGTATCAGTATAAAATTATTTTGAATACATGACAATTATAGTTTAGGTGACCCTTTCTTCTGCAGTTTTAGAGAAAATAAGTAAATCTAACAAATTAAACACACACATTTAGTCTTTTGGGGTCTTTTAAACCACTATCTTGATCCAAGTGGGATTTGAAGTAGGAAAGTAACATTTTCTGGTTACACAACAGCTGCATGTAGCAATATATGTATAACAAGGGAGGGGTAACTAGATTTCCTTCAACTGAATGAATACTAAATGTCCTTTACAACGGTGACATTTACAGTAGTGACAAAAACATCTGGTGTTACAAGTGCCCTCTATTAAGAATTTAAATCACAATAAGAGAACTAGGCTGAAATTAACAAATGCAAAAAGAACAGCGGCTTGGCACATTCCTGTGTTTGGGAGGCTGGCAGGATTCTCCAGAGCTTGGAGCCTACCAGGGGTACACAGACAATTCCAGGCCAGCCTGCCAGAGTGAAGGAAACCCTGTTTCAAAATAAATAAATAAATAACAAAGCGCACACACGCCCCCAAACAAACCTTTTGCCTAGTGTTGCTTCTGGAATTCCAATGGCATTTGAATTTATGACGGAGGGGAAAACAAGGTCATTTCTCACTAACCATTCCACGATCAGTGATTTGCCCTCCATTGCCTGACTGCTAAGAGCTAACAACTGAACTCAGTAATATTGCCAAGTCTTTATGACCAGACCATTTACTGAGCATTCACTTAGACCTGCTCGGCACCTACCGCGCTGTCTTCACTACTAGTACAATTAAATCGGGGCTGTTCCAAGGGCATTCAGTATGGAAACAAACTTCACAGAATTCAACACCTTCCTTCTGCAATGGTGACAAAATTACCTAGGAGATCTCCTTCACTGCCAAAGCTTCCGTGCGTGCCTGTGTGTAAACCAGAGTGCAATCTCGGATGTTCTTTCTCAGGAGCTGTCCTCCTCACCTGTCAGTGCTGGCTGGGAATACAACCTGGGGCCACCAAGCCCGGCTTTTCACGTGGTGCTGGCGCTCAGTCTTCACGCTTCTATGGTATGCTCTTTACCCACCGACCGTCGCCCCAGCCCCGCCTACGACTTCCTACTGTCCTTAAGAGGATCCCAGTAGCAAGTCGTTCCAGTTTTTACCTGATTGCCCAGCACCGCGGTGGCACAAGCCGTCGACACCTCCTTGGGTCCAAACCACACGGAGGCGATGCGGGAGGGCAAGCCCAAGATGAAGACCTGCGCCACGGAGCACAGACTCTGCCCCAGCATGGTGACCCAGAAGAGGTGCCGCTGCACGCTGCCGCACTTGACCCAGGCGCCCAGGCAATTGAGGCCGGAGCCCAGCAGCGCCGTGAGCCGCAGGCCTCGCGTGTCCAGCAGCCAGGTGGCCGGGAAGATGAGGGGCACGTAGGCCAGCATGTACACCATGGACAGCCAGTTGATGTGTAGCGCCGACACGCCGTAGAAGCCCTCGAACACGTTGCTGATGATGCTGTACTGGATCCAATGGAAGGCGTTCACCAGCGAGTACGAGCTGAAGATGAGCAGCACCACGAAGCGCCGCGGCGACAGTGCCGTGCGCGGGGAGCGCGTGGGAACCAGGTCGTCCTCTCCACCGCCTGCGGGCAGCAACCGGGCCTGGGTCTCCTCCTCCGCTGCCAGCAGGGCTTGGGGTCTGTCCGGGGCTCCCGCGATCACGGGGCCGTGTTCCGGGCCTCCGATCTCCGCCTCAGGCCCTTCCTGCAGCTCCGCGTGCGTCTCCCCGTCAGGGGCGCCTCTCAGCACCGGAAGGTATTCCTTTGCCAGCGGGTGCCCGGGCGCCAAGGCCGGCCCCTCCTCGTCGTCGTCGGGCCGCGCCATGCCTCCCAGCTCCCCGCCCCGCCGCTCCTTTACTCTCCCGGCCGGCTCCACGCTCCT